GCAAAATTTCATCGTAATCGATCCATTCGTTTATGAGTTACTGTGCTAACGGACGGACAGACGGACAGACACAACAAAATTATAAGCTCGCTAGGAGCTCGTTAATAATGACAAAAATGGGGTCATTGAACTTTGATGACCTTCGAACTTCACCTTGACCTACTTTTCAAAGTCACCACCAGATGGCGAGCGACCTTGAACTGAGCTAGGTTCGCCCTGATATGACTACTCGTGCGCTATAGACAACTTAATTATTTGTGGAGCAATTTTATCGAAATTGTTAGGGTCGGTTTCTCTAATAAAAACAAATAAAATGGTAACAACATCGTCTCAATCATTCACATTCTAAAGTTCCTTCAGGCCAGATGCTTTTTTGTTCCTTCTTTTTAATTCTTTTGGATTACGAAGCTCAGAAATTGATTTATTTTAACTCGTTTGGGAAAGTATAGTTTCTCTTTATTAGAAACAAAAGCTACCTGATATCTAATCTCCAAACCCTAATACATGATTCTGGTTTCTTATCTCTCCTCGGTTTGGAAAATGATTACCTTTAAACTTAATTTTTACTAAATCGAGATAAATCGACAACCCTTTCTATAAATGATCCAGCTGTCCACACTCTGATTAGATCATCAAGAAAATTGAAACTCAAACAGTGAACCAAAAGGGGCTTGAAGGTGTTTTTAATCCAGTAATCAATTCAAGACATACGTCCTATTTTAACATATCCGTTTTTGATTTCAGATTATCAAAAACGACTAGTTTGATTCAATTGGCTCATATGCACAACCAGAAAGTGTTATCGGAAAAAGAAAACGCAAAGGTAAGTTGAAGGGCAAAACGTTCAGTCAATAATCATTTTTTCATCCAGTTGGAAGGTAAGAGGCGTAAGGCAGAAGATGCAGTGAAAAAGGCCGACATTGAATATTATACGTTATGCGTTAGAGCCGAACGCGCAAGGTAAACCCCGTCACATGCCTAGATCGACAATTTAAATTGCTTCTTTCAGACTGGAGTGGGAATCTGACATATTGAGGGGTTCGAATACATTTCAAGTACTAGAAGAAGAAAGACTGAATAATT